AACACCGAAAAAAGTTGTTTAGTACCTTGCCAGAGATGCAGGTTCTTAGGTTTTATATTTGACAGTAAAGAAATGTTAATTGAACTTCCAGAGGAAAAGAAATCCAAGATTTATGATTGCATAGAAATGATCAAAAATACAAAATATTGTAAGATTAGAAAATTTGCTCAATTTTTAGGACTATTAATATCTGCTTGTCCAGCAATGAAATATGGAAAATTATATACTAAATACCTTGAAAGGGAAAAGTTTTTAGCGCTCAAAAGAACTGGTCAGAATTATAATAGTTCCATGATAATTTCTGGGTTAGTCAAGGAAGACCTTGATTGGTGGGCTGAAAACATTTTTTCAGCTACAAATGAAATACGGTCTGATAAATTTTCATTGGAAATATATTCAGATTCCTCAAAAACAGGGTGGGGGGCGTGTGCTGGAAACCAGTCTACTCATGGCTGGTGGAGTTCTGTAGACATAATTAAACACATTAATTATTTAGAGCTTAAAGCCATATTTTATGCATTGAAGTGTTTTGCTGGTAATCTTAAATCATGCAACATTCTCATTCGAGTTGACAATACGACGGCACTATCATATATTAATAGAATGGGAAGTGTACAGCATCTTGAGCTTTGTTCTCTTGCAAAACAAATTTGGAAATGGTGCGAGTACCGGGATTTGTGGTTACATGCTAGTTATGTGAACACTAAGGATAATATTGCAGATCCAAATTCTCGTGTAATTTCTTCAGAAACTGAATGGGAACTATCTGAGGAAGCATTTACAAAAATTTCTAATTGCCTAGGCCAACCTGACATAGATTTGTTCGCATCGAGTGCAAATAGAAAGGTAGAGCAGTATGTATCTTGGCATGTAGACCCAGAATCCGTTGCGGTTGATGCATTCACCATTTCATGGAGTAATACATACTTTTACGCCTTTCCTCCATTCAATCTCATATTGAGAATGCTGAATAAAATTATATCTGATAGTGCCGAGGGTATTGTCGTCGTACCAGACTGGCCCTCACAACCCTGGTACCCCTTGTTCAAAAATCTGTTGACTGCAGATCCAGTTGTACTGGAACCTAATCCGACATTACTTTCTTCTCCTTTCAGAATGACTCACCCTCTTCATGCAACCCTTACCCTGGTTGCAGGGAGGCTATCAGCCAAGCCTTTGAAAGAAGAGGATATCCAAAAAGCACATTGAATACCTTGTTGCAGTCACTCTCAGTATCAACAATGAAACAATATAATTCATCCTTTCGGTCTTGGTGGTCTTATTGTCTCAAAAATAAGGTAGATCCACTGGAGGCAAGTGTACCTACTGTCCTTGAATTTATGGAGTATGAATTACAGAATACCAAGAAGAATTATGGAATGTTTAATCAACATAGATCAGCTCTGGCATTAATTTTACCGGTAAAACTGCATTTAGCATGCGATGGGTTTTTTTTCGAAAATTTTTTTTGGTACTTACGTATTTTTGTCTGAAAAACACGAATTTGATAATGAATATGTGAACAAACCATTATTTATCAAGATATATCACTATAAAGTTTCAAATTTCACCTTCTTTTCCGCCTGTCTTCTGGATTGAATTTTAAACAATTCACCCTTCTTTTTTCATCATTGGACAATTTATATATATCACAATGTAAGACACATTTTTTTCTATTATTGAGTCAACTAGAAATATGATTTTCTTGTGATTTATCCATATTTATTGAAAAGAAGGAAGAATATCATTTGAAATAATGGCGTGTGTAATGTCATTCCAAAGCAATCTATTGACATTTGACATCTCGTATTTGGATTGCCTATGGATAAAATGGCCGTCATCTGGTATGCTTGCTCACTAAATAGGAAAAACTCACCATAAAAATCATATTTCCTGTTGAATTTTCTGTATAAAAATGTGTCATTGAAGTACATCATGAGTATATAAAGTGTCCAATGACAAAATAAGAAGAGCAAGTACCTGAAAATGCATCCAACGCAAGGAGAAAAAGGAGTCGAAATTTCGAACTTTTTTTTGAAATATCTCGATAAATAGTGGTTTGTTCACATTTTCATTATCAAATTCGTGTTTTTCAGACAAAAATACGTAAGTACCAAAAAAAATTTTCGAAAAAAAACCCATCGCATGCTAAATGCAGTTTTACCATTTTACCAAATGAAATAGGTAAAAATATATTGATAAGGAGGTTTCTTAAGGGAGTGTCCAGGTTGAGACCTCCTCGGCCTAGGTATAATGTCACTTGGGATCCACAAATAGTTTTGACTTATTTATCCTCTTTGGATAGCAATGAGAATCTCCCTCTGCTGAAACTTTCCAAGAAGCTAGCAATCCTTTTAGCTCTTTCCACGGGGCATAGAATCCAAACTTTGCAGCTAATAAGAGTGGAAAACATAAATTTTCATGAAGGCGGAGTTCGCATATTTGTACCGGATAGAATAAAATCAACGAGACTGAATTCATATCAACCATGTTTGGAGTTACCCTTTTATCATGAAAAGCAAGTATGTGTTGCCTCTACGTTGCTGTCATACATAGAAAGAACAGCATCCATTAGGCCAGTTTCTGAGCCATATCTCTTCATAGCTTCAAGAGAGCCATATATTCGTGTCACAAGAAGCACCATTTCTCGTTGGATAAAGCAAATGATGGAAGCAGCAGGAATTGACACGAATATGTTTTCCGCATACTCAACTAGACATGCATCCACTTCAGCAGCCTCCCGCCACGGAATCCCCTGGGAAGTAATCAAAAAGGCTGCTGGCTGGTCAACGAATTCTCAGACGTTTGCTAAATTCTACAATCGTCCTCTCGCTAATTCTACAAAGTTGAGTCATGCAATTTTTCCCAATGAGGAAATCAAATAGATATAACTTTTTAATTTGAATGAGTTCATATTATACACTAGTTAAAAAAAAAAAAAAAAAAATAAATAAATAAATTTTCTTTCCAAAGGATGTGCCAGAATTTATGTGCCTAATGAAAGTAACAACGTCAATAAATATATATTTATAAAACTTTGAAAATCTACATAGTAAAAGTTAGTGATCTCGAGGACGAGGTGCTGAAATATAATTGTACGATCAAACGAACCTGTGATGTTCGATCGTAATTATATAAAGCACCTCGTCCGAAGAGATCACTCCCGCCCCTCCCTCATTGAAACTATTGAGATTATCATCTATGGTATATGATATGACCCCAGTGGAATATATATTTATTGCACAAAACTTAAAACTTAATGACGCTAGTGGGTAATGTAGGTAAGGTAGTATTGGTAAAAAAGGTTTTCTTTATTCAAGGTTGGTAGAACTGATTATAATTTGTATAGGAAGGTTGCCTCGATCGATAGTGCGGCAAGGGGGGGAAACGGTCACTCGTGACGTCACAGGCAGTAAGACGACAAGTTGTCAACCTTAAAGCGACATGTCATGAAATGTTTACCAAATAGATTATACAAACATGATACAAACTTTTTGGTCTGCTCAGCATATTTATATCAATTCATAGTATATAATTATAAGTAAGTACCATTATAAAATATGGATATTTACATATACTTCTGTATAATACCTTCAATCTTCGAAATGAGAAGGCAATTTTGGATGGATCAGTAGTACAGAGAGGAATACCTATCTGAAATTTTGTTCCAGGGGCTATTTACCAGGTCGTGGTACCAGGTATGTGTGTTTTGAGGTATGGAGCATAATTATGGAGCTAGTGATTACTTATGCATTGATTATGAACCTACTCATCCTATAAATATCCTGCAAATCAGATGTGAACAAGAAACTACAGAAAATATAAGAATAATCAACTGATGATCCAGAAATAGTAGCAGTGGACCAATATTCGTACACAACAGATCACTTATTTTATCAATATAACTCTGTATTCTGAAAAATTAACAAACTTTCCTAGATGCCTATAGAAAATACAAGAGGAAATAGTATTTCATTGTTTGATTATATTGTAGTCAAAAACAGAGCAATTGATCGAAGTATTTGAGCATAAAAAAATAACAAAATATGATTCTGACAAAATTAATGAAAAATAACACTACTATTACAAGTGAACCTATAATGAAGGATAGTTCAAGGAATCTCTCAAATAAACATATAGCTCCTCTTCGTTGGGTAACGTACTCTTGCTCAAATATCTCAACTTGAAAACACGTGTGATATCTTCTGATGTCCATTTTACCCGTTCAGCAAGAATCTCAACATTCACAACTGGTCTGGTTCTGATCATTTTTCGAAACTTGAATACTTATGGTGTATCTCTTGTTGTATTTGGTATTATTGATGGGATTCCTACCTTGAGTTTTCTTCTCTTTGGTGTGTGATTTAGCAATTCTGCTTGTGCCGTTCAAAATATCCTCGGCATCGAAATGGGCAGAACATATTCGCCAAGTTTTGATATTGATTGAATTAAAATTACGTCCACAAAATTGAATCCATTTCTCACGAATAGACTCATCTTATGGAAATTAATGGAAACACAAACTAAATTCGCTAGTCTCATTACACTTGTACGAATTTTAACAAGAAGTGACCGAACAAATTACCATTTTTTCATTTTTAAGTTCAAAATGGTTCAAATATCCGAAAATACTGACAACTGTCAACTCAATACATGCGCCGGCCAATCGCCGGCGTACATATCATACACGAAGTGTACGAGAGTGCTACACTTTTCGTGCAAAAGAAAGGGCCTATTACGTCATGAGTTACTCAAGGTTACTCGCGGGGTGCGATCGAGGCAACCTTCCTCTACAAAATAGTCATCAGTTCTACCAACCTTGTTCTTTATTATTATGTGACGCCATCTAGTACCAAGAAGCGGTACTACATAGTAAAAGTTAGTGATCTCTTCGGACGAGGTGCTTTATATAATTACGATCGAACATCACAGGTTCGTTTGATCGTACAATTTTTTGACCTGCGGATTTTTTTGCCGGTGACGTTATTATGTTGGAAGCCAAATATTCGATGATTGTAGAAGAACTGTCTGCAGGCACTGACATGAAACGGACATCAAAGTAACATTCTTGCATTCTATGCATTCTATGATTTTCTCGTACCAACCGAATAGCAAAAAAATAATACATCTTCTCTTCGTGTCAACAGTAGTGATGGCGGTCGGTAAAAATAAGGGTCTTTCAAAAGGAGGAAAGAAAGGAGTTAAAAAGAAGGTGTAAGTCTAAATATTTATTTATTATTGTTCTTTAATGTTTCATATTCAATTATGGAAGCTTAAATTCAAGAAAACATCGACGATTACCTGATATTGATTAGATACATATAACATGGTGATATTTTAAAGTTTTTGTGTATTCAGTTCCTCTAAGTCTAATGTATTGTAATCATACAACTCCGTTCAGTAACTCTTTGGCATTAAATTCATTAGTCTGAAAAATATCTCATAAGGTAATCAATTTATGATGTTGAGTAGTTTTTAGGGTTTGGTTAGGTTAGGTTTTACATGATGATCCACTCAGCTCGCTTTGAGACATATGTGAAGACAACTATGTGTTCCCTATATTCAATGATAAACTGATTCTATGATCTTATTTGATCTTCATGTCTTGGTGTTTGAACATTTTCTAACATTTTATTTGTTTGTAGAGTAGACCCTTTCACAAGAAAAGACTGGTATGATGTCAAGGCACCCTCTATGTTTGCTACCCGACAAGTAGGAAAAACGTTGGTAAACCGTACTCAGGGCACCAGGATTGCCTCTGAAGGTTTGAAGTTCAGAGTATTTGAGGTCTCTTTGGCTGACTTACAAAATGATAATGATGCTGAACGTTCTTTCCGTAAATTCCGTCTCATTGCTGAAGATGTTCAAGGTAAGAGAATCAATGATGTATTAATAATAAGGGTTATAACTCCTAGTTGAATGTGTAACATGATGATTCACCTAGCTCGCATTGACACATACATGATGAAAAGTTATGTGTTCCCTAAAAATGACGCTAATATTTTTGAAATCTGATTACACATTTTGATCTTAATTCCTCATTTAAATCTTTGGTAATTTTGCACTTATCATGTGATGAGTTTTTTTGGAAAAATTTTTTTGGTACTTACATATTTTTGTCTGAAAATCACGAATTTAATGATGAAAATGTGAACAAACCACTATTTATCAAGATATTTCAAGAAAAAGTTCAGAATTTCCCCATCTTTCTCCCCTTGTGTTGGATGCATTTACAGCTACTTTTTCTTCTTATTTTGTCATTGAACACTTTATATACTCATGATGTACTTCAATGACACATTTTTACTTAGAAATTTCAACTGGAAATATGATTTCTGTGGAGTTTTTCATATTTAGTGAACAAGCATACCAGATGATGGCCATTTAATAATTAGTCAATCCAAATATGAGATGTCAAATGTCAACACAAATTATATTCTTACTTCTTTTCACTAAACATGGATAAATCACAAGAAAATCATATTCCTAGTTGACTCATGATTAAAAAAGAAAAAAATGTGTCATAAATTGTGATATACAGGGTGATTCACATAAGAACCAACATAGAGCAGGGGCATGTAGGGGGTCACAAAATATGGCAATTTAACGCAACTTACCTCTATACCAAGTTGCTTCCCTAAGGAGTTATAGGCTTTGAAAGTGAAGTTATAAATTTTGAAAAAAATAAATATCTCCCTTATTCTTGAACTTGAAGCAACCAAATTTGGTACAGTTTGTGGATGTATTCAGGGCGTTACTTGAAATTAACTAGAGCTCAATTGAAATTTGTAAAGGGAGTATACCGGGTGACACACCATTAATATTCAACAGAATTTTGTTAACCCTTGGTGGATTCCAAAAATCTTTGCTTTGTTGTGTGGGCAATTCAATTCTAAAACTTTTCTTAGTCTAGTAATTTCTTGAAAAACCTCATCATTTTCATCAAAAACTTGAATAACTGAAAACGCGTGCTGAAAAGAAGATGAAATTTGTAACTCATAGTGAAATATCATGATAAATAATGGTTTGTTCACATTTTCATTATCAAATTTGTGTTTTTTCAGACAAATATATTTGAGTACCATAGAAAAATTTTGAAAAAAAAAACAGCAAATCTTTTTTAATCTCATAAAATTTATGATGAATTAATAAGATGTTTGCACATTTTGTTTATTCATATCTAACATCTGAAACTTGTGAGTGCACTAGACCATTTGAGGAACAATAAAACAACTGAATTCAAAATGAATTATGACACTGTGAAAAATAGGGATTGTAGATTTTGTTTTCATATGCATTTTTTTTTGTTCTTCAAACAACATTCAATCATTTTAGGTAGGAATGTATTGACTAACTTCCATGGCATGGACCTGACCACTGACAAATTGAGGTCAATGGTCAAGAAATGGCAAACTCTAATTGAAGCCTCAGCTGATGTCAAAACCTCTGATGGTTATTTACTTAGAGTTTTCTGTATTGGTTTCACCAACAAGGACCAATTGTCTCAAAGAAAAACCTGCTATGCTCAGCATACACAAGTAAGTTGTCCAATCTCAATTTCTTCACTGAAATTAGTTTCAATGTTGACAATATCAGCAATGTTATTTTTCAATCTGATCAGAAGACTCAAAATCATTCCTTTTAGGTACAACATTGAAATTTTTATTTTACTCTCTTTGGTTTCAAAATTGATATCAGAAATCATACTCACATCAGATAGGTATCCATCAGAAATTGGGAAAGGTATCACAGCCAACAAATTAATATTGTTAGTCCTATGTTGCTGTATTTGTTGCTGATATGTCTGGATATTTTCAAATTTTGCTTTTGCTCACCCCACAATTGATCATGTCATGAAATATTTTCTGTCCCATTTCTATCAGGAAGTATCAAAAGTCTGCTCTAACTTTTTTATTAACAAAAAACTACATTTCTTGCTTATATGGTTTAAAAGTCCTTAGTTCAGAGTTTCAGCACCTATTTCATGTGGATTTAATCTTATTATGTATATTGATAAAAAAAAATTCAGGGATGAATATATGATATGGATTGTCTAAACTCAGGTTTTGAAATTTCTCTGAACTAGTGATCGACCGATACCGATGCCGATATATCGGCTATATTGGCCGAGGGCCGATTATCGGTATCGGCCGATAGATGTGAGTATATATCGGCTATATCGGCCGATGTATAAAGACAACCATAGCAGCTGAAAACATTTTTTTTATATTTAAATTTAAAGTAATGTTTGAAATAAGGTAATCTTGAGAAATTATGGTAGATATAACATGAAATAGGCATTTAATATGAATACTGTAGTTTTGGCAAATTATCATGTAAAAAAATAAGTGTCTCAGTTAGGTTCATTCAAAGTGCAATTTTTGTTTTTATTTTTATGATTTTAAATTGAAAGTTGAAGAATTATAAACTATATTACAGAATATTCAGATTTTAGAGATTTTAGACAATAATAATTAATAAGCAATGTTATCAATTAAAAAAGGCTGATATGCTGATATATACTGTTATCGGCCAAGACATTATCAGTATCGGCCGATGATCACTACTCTGAACCACAACCATTCAAAAATAAGCATGTTTTTACTTGAAGTATAAGATTTATTTTGATTTTTGTCTCTGTGCAGCAAAAACTATTCCAATGGAGTAACATTTGAGTCAAGCCAGGATTTACTTTTTCTTCAATCAATAATAGTGTATTATTCAACAAGCAAATAATAATGGCTATTTCTCACAAAGATTGAAATAATTGCAGCATAATGAAAAATTGTAACCTTCAAATTTATGATTTTTTGGAAAATTGTAACCTTCAAATGTATGATTTTTTATTTTCTCCATATATGAATGAGTGGTGATCATCTCAGGCAGCTGAAACTTGATACTTGACATTAGAATCAGTTTGCCTCAGGATCTATTAAGAATAATTATCACAATAATGAATTGAAGTTTTAATTTTCAAGGATTCTGAAAATCTGTAGGAAGTTTTGAATTCATGATTTCTATAACTGCTAATACAGCAAATTTTTGTGAAAAAAATTTAATAGGGAATACAATGAAAATAATTAACATGTCCAGTGTTAATACAATTATGAATTAAGGAATAAAATGAAAGTTGACTCCACTTTTCTTTAGTGCAAAAATGAAAGTGTGCATATACAGATACAGATGTCAGAAAGGAGCACATTATTCAATTAGTGTTACTGCTGTGATTAGTTGTTGATTGGTCTTCATATTTTTCATTTTGAAAAATGTGTACAAACCGACGCTAATTTGAGATGAAGTACTGAAATCCCTAAGGATCTAGAGTGACATTAAAGATTTTTGCTCTTCTGGTGATTGTTCTTTTATTGGTTGGCAAGTGATGATAATCCTAGCTCGCATTGACACACACATGATGAAACATGTATGTTCCCTTAATGACGCAATTTTCATTTGATCTGATGCCAAACCAATCAGTGAAAAGCATGTGACTTTGATAATATCAATATCCCAATGGAATTGTGTTTTTTCACGACTTTTTCAAACTAGGTTAGGGCCATTCGTAAGAAGATGGTTGAAATCATCACCAGAGACATCCAGGGGTCAGATATCAAGGAAGTTGTGAACAAGCTTCTCCCTGACAGTATTGCCAAGGACATTGAAAAGGCCTGCCAAGGAATCTACCCTCTACATGATGTTTACATTCGTAAAGTCAAGGTATGTATTGTAGTCAATAAATTGATCAATTTCTTCATAAAATGAACACAGCTGATTGAAAAAGCTCCTGTCAATTTCAAAATTATCTTTAAATAAAAAAACACTACAGGCTGCCACTTGTCTCATGTGTCACCTGGTATAAGGAAAGGGAAATATTATAGATAGTATAACAAAATATCATAATTTATCATCATAAGTGTTCAACTTCATCTAGCAAATAAGAGATCTATGAGAATTATTCAAACCTTTTATATCTCATTGCTTTTATGATATAGTTATAATATTGTTCTGAAAGAACTATTTCCGGCAATGTACTTTTTCATTTATTTCTTCTGAAGTGAAATTTGATCTTACAAAATCTCAGCATGTATTCCTGAGGTTAAGATGAGCCGATTTGAAGCCACTTACCCCAGTCCGAAATTGGTCCGCTTCCGAAATACAGGGTGGTCAAGTTATGGAATAAAAATCAAATTTCTCAGAATTTATCAACATATTTGAGCATATCACTTGGAAAATTGATATTTGGGTTTTTTTTGTGATGCAAATTAGTGTTTTTGTTCTCTTCATGGAGAAATCAAAAGAAATAGTCCATCAACTGGAATTTTTTTAACCATAGCCCACTATTGAAGTTCAATGTTTTAGTGATTTTAGAGCAATTTTGAAAATTTCATAATCACATTATATATTATTCTGAAGGAAAAAAAATTGGATTTTAATGAGCTTATAATATACAGGATGTTCTGTTTGAGAAATTATAAGTTGAGTCATATCTCCAAAACCATACCCCGAAAGAAAATAGAGTGTGCCACTGGATTCTGCATAACATTCTCTATAAGATTAGATTTTAATTTGACATTTTCACTGAAAAACTTCACAGTTCACAAAGTATAAATTTTCAAAATCGCCCTGTATCTCATTACCGGAAGCAGTTATGCAAAATCTGATTAGGCCATCTTTAGTTTCACAAAAAAAAAGGCACAGAACCGCGAAAACCACAAGGTTCCATCTCCAAAAAAAAACTGAGATATCATGCAAAAGCATCCACTAAGAAAGGACGCCGGCTGTATCTCGGAAACTATTTGCCGCACAGGTTAAGGAAAAAAATATTCATGATGAAAGTGGCCAAGAGAAATCTCTGGAAACATTTTTTAGGTTTCCAGGACCGACGCTAGAAGGCGTAAAATTGCATCGGCCAATTTAATTTTGTGAGATTTCGGTATATCAAGGTATGTCAAAAACACTTTTTTTCATGATCTGGAGTTGATTTCCAATCATTTATATAAAAAAATTGTACTATCTCAATATGTGAAAAAGGGGAGGTTGAATAGTACTATGGAAAAACTCTTATTACTACAGTTTGGTGTAATGGGATCCAACAAAGATAGTCTCATTATGAAAGGATTCTTCAGCTCTTTCAGATTTTTTTTTTTTTTTTCAATTGCATACCTCGTTGGTCCCAGCACTGGGACCAAACGCCCCCTAAGTCGAAACTTGTTCGGGGTTAGGTATACATACAAACAAACACAAACATCCATGGCCTTACTAGGATTCGAACCTATGTCTGGGGTGGTGAATCAGATGAGTCGATTTAAATCCTGTGGTGGCAGCTACATGGCACCTTTTAAAAAATCAGTCAATTTTCCATTTTTCTGGAGAAATTCAAATAGAATCTTATATGATTCAGCCAAGTGGATAGGAAGGGGTAGCATATTTGAGTGGCCACCTAGGTCTCCAGATCTGACATGTTCAGATTTTAATTATTGTTGTTTGAAAAATATGGGTTTTGAAACCCGACCAACAACTATGAATGATATAATTAATAGGATCAGAACTGCCGTCGAGAGCATACCAAGGACCGAAGTGGAAGCTGCAGGTCAATCGGCTTGGCGGACACTCAATCTATGTACATCTGATTTTTCAAAAGGCGCCATCTATAGGCCACCACGAGATTTGAATCGACCCCATTCGTGATTCATCTGAAAGAACTGAAAAATCCCTTCATGGTTCATTGAATTCTGTTCCACCAAACTGTAGTAATGAGAGTTTTTTCATAGCACTATTCATCCTCCCCTCCTTCATTTTTCTATCAAAATGATTGATAATCAACTCCAGATCATAAAAAAAGTGTTTTGGAAAAAAGTGTTTTTGGCATATCCTTGATATGCCGAATTCTCACAAAATCCCGTTTTTTTTTCAATTAGTAAATGCAATTAGGCCCCTCTTGCGGCCGTCCTGGAAACTTGAAAATAATTTCCAGATATTTATCTTGGCCACTTTCATCATAAATATTTTTTCCGAAACCTAAGCGGCAAATAGTTTCGGAGATACAGTCGGCGTCCTTTCTTAGTGAGTACATAATGATACCATAGTGCTATAGTGTAACAACCCGAAAAGTAACCATTTTGAGTTGTATACTCTATCTGATTCATCATTTTGTTAGCTTTCATGTGCTAAAAAAAAATTTTGTTCTAAAATTTGTTCTATCCGTCATTCGGTTGCCCCCTTACGAGCAACCCTCAAAAGTCTTCGAAAGTCTTGTGCGAGCAAGGAATGACGGGGGCCTTACCTTTTAACGTGTGATCCCAAACACTTTCTTGGGCCATCAGAAAAATTTCTGCAGTCGACGGGGATCGAACCCACGACCGGCAAGCGAATGCGAATTAGAATATAGACACTCTGTCCGCACGGCTACCTGCTATACTGTAACAACTGAAGGAAACTTCATTTCCATAATATAATGGGCTTATATCACAAAAATATTTTATTTCATAATTCGATAGAACTCACCCAAACTAGCTCACCACCGCAAACCGTTTCTTGCTGTGACCTCCCTACATTTTATAAAAAAATATTGAAATCCCCGATTTTTCGGACCTCTGAAAACGAGGCGATGATGTGACGTCAAAACCCTAATACTGAAACACAGTTGAAAGAATTGATATATCAGTTTGCCTCAGTCTCCGTCGGCCGTTTGGTATTTTCTTTTAACTATGGCGAGATGAGGTTTCTACCATAAGAGGGCCCGTTTTCAGAAGGTTCTATTATTTATGTTTAAAAATAAAACATTCCAGTTAATTTTTCGATGCCAATCATTATTTATGTATAAAAGGATCATTATTAACATGGTTGGAGTTAAAAGTCCTACTAAGGTGTACATGCCCATTCCATACTGTGAAATATTTTCAGTGATCCAGAGTTGTTAAATTGCATAGCTCAAAATGATTAATTTCAACACTCAAACATACTTATAATACAATGTTACATCATTATCCCTTTAGTGATTGTAGTCATTGTACTTACTCATCTAATAATGATGATTTTTTTTTTATCACAAAGCTTTATATTATCAATTATATAATTCAGATCAATAGTGTAACAAGTCCCAACAGAATCATTTTTTACCAAAAGTTTTTTTTTTTTTAAATTGATTTAAGGAAGTGAATAGAAAACTACTATGGTAGGGCTATTATTTTATATTGTTGGGACATAATCTACAAAATTAGATTCAAATTATTATGAGCTGAATGTTCAGTTGCCATTTTATCAAAACAACAATGTTTGAGATGTTACACTATTGAATTATGTTACCGATAATTGAATCGAATTATTCTATCAAGTATGTTTTTGAACAGGCCCCAGTATTCTGCCATTTGAAGGGTTAATGTAGTCATATAACTATTTCTGTCTGTTCCAGGTGCTGAAGAAGCCCAGGTTCGAGCTGTCCAAGCTGTTGGAGTTGCACGGCGACGGCGGCAAAGGGGGGGCCGGCGAGGGGGGCGGCGAGGCCGGCTCGAAGGTCGACAGGCCCGAGGGGTACGAACCCCCTGTACAAGAAGCGGTGTAACGTTATTTTCAGAGTGTTTATGTATAAAGAGGAAACGAAATAAATACGGAGTATTTATGGCCAGTTGGAGTTTTTGTTTGACGAGAATAGGCGAGGGTATGCTCTTTAAATAGTGTCATTGTTAACACCTGAGCAAAAAACATGGTACACACATATGTATTTCTTAACAGTGGCCCACTCACCTTAGGAAAAATAGCGGGAATCGGAGCCAAAGTTTTGAAAATTGGTGTACGTGTTTCTTTTAGCATAACATCTTACCGAGAAAAAGTCACCACCCGTACCTATAGAGCTTGCGCCGCCATCTTGGAAAATAGGTGCAATATTTCAGTTTTTCACATATATCTCGGTAACTGTTAACTTTATCGCGATGAAGGTGGAAAGGTAAAAGGAAGCTAACAAAATTTCTTGTAAAAAAGTATTCATTGACTATTTCCGAAATATGCACGGTTTTGGACTTATGTCGCCACAACGATTTGGCAAAATATAAAAAAAATTCTACTGCAAACCTACTGGACAAACTATAATTCAGTTGTATACGCTCCTGGTCACCTGCAAAAAAGCATTCATAGCTATAATCGTTCAAGTCCAGACCTTCTGAAATTATAATTACGTTTTATGCACTAGCGGGCCGTAAATAAGTCGCACTTAAACGCCCGCGGGCTCATTATGGCCCACGGGCCGTAAAGTGCACTTTACCGCCCGCTGTTCTCAGTTACCTTATATCAACACATCAATTGATGAAAAATCTATGATCAATTTCCTAGATTCTAATATATAACCAGCGGTATATCATAAACTTCTTGTTTATCCAATTCCATATCTATCGCTATTATTATTATTATCATCACTAATTTTTACTCTTCAGTCAAAGAATGACAATTCAGCTCGTTTATTGGATGTATTGATATAGACAACAACCATCAGCTTGATTGACAACGTCAAAATTAGTTAGGTATATATACTGGGTATGCATATTGTAAAATTCTGAAGAATGAATCTCTTATAGAGATCAAATAGTTTTACTATCACGTTAATTGCAATATTCGTACGATAATTTTCATATTATGTAAATCATCCATGAACATTACGCTTCTCTTGATTACCGAATTTATATACGTAACAAATTAAATTCACGTGCGTGAAATGCGTTTATGGCCTTCAGCGTGTACTGGCCCTCGGCTAGCGCCATCGGGCCATTATTCACGCCACAGGCCATAAACGCCTACTTTACGCCCTTGATACATAAATAACTATTATCCTATCAGTATTCGCTTTTTTATGTTCTGGTTCCCACGAAAAGGGATATCGTGTAATGTTCACAGAACATCGTGAGAACCAACGGAAATAAGGTAGGAATTGGTGTTCTTAAATTTCTGGAGATTAAGGCATGTCATCTTCGTCATTTGAGAATACAAGCATCGGTTCGGGTTCGTCCGGGAATTCGTATTCATTACTCAGAAGGGATGAAACGGGAAAATCGTCCTTCACCTCGGATTCCAGCGTTTCGGCGTCCTCCTGACAGTATTGTGCGTTGAGGCAGGATGCTCCAAGGCAATATCCGCAAATAATCGAGCATTTGAGACCCGCATTCCTGCATTCGCAGGCTGCCGTGCATCCTTACAATTGCAAAAAATCATCTGGAGCAGCAGGTAGGGTGGTTTGCACAGGTACCAGACCAACAGCACTCCTCTTCCACCCCCAAAGCTCAGGACATTTTTGATTACCCAACCACTTTTGTACCTGGTGATGGACTCTGAAGGAGTGCTGCCTCAAAGCTGCTTTTGTCGGTGGCATCAGAGAAGCCAGATCTACTTTTTTGTTGGTAGCAGATTTAGCGAACAGTTTGTACCGGAGCTTGTTCAATGATGTTTCCGTTGTATGGACACCATACAGAGCTAGAACGAATCGTTCACCTGCTGCAGATACTTCCTCACTCGTAGCTTCCGTGTTGTTGAAAGTCTTCGCAAATTCTCGTAATGATGGCCGGTCCTTCATGAGTTTGAGGCATTTCAACTTTCCTTTTCTGAAGCAAAATGATGTGGTATCACACCCTCCAAAGGCATGTAAGAAAAGAATAGGTACTGCTCTGTAATTTAGTACTGGTTTGTAGTTCGCGGGAACAGTTCCTTTTTACCACTACATTGCCCCTTTTTGATTTGACAAAATAAATGTTGCGTTCTGCTGGAGCCAATGCTATGAGTAGAATAAGTAGATCTACATCTTCTCCAACAACGGTATGACTTGGGTAGAGGAAGACATTTCGATAGCTGTCTGTATTAATAGCGAATCCCCATTGTCCACTGCTTGCTTTGTGATGAACCCTTCGTTTTTTGTATCTGCATGAAGTTCATTAGCTATTTCTGCATGAATGGTGAAAGCAATATAATTGTATTTCAATATTCATTCAAGATATACCTTAGAATTATTTCAAACCTGATTCGATTGATGTTATGTAGGGGCTACAATTCATTCATTTCAACATCAAATTCTAGCTCTTCGAGCTACTTTAGGTTACAGAGGACGGCTCACTTGAGAAAACATGAATATGTAGCAACACTGGTATTCTGTAATGGCCGATCGCTGTTGCGAGGATGAATTATAAACATCTCAGCGAGGATCCTCGAATATGGCGCCGACTCTCTGTCAGTTACTTGTAGATGGAATATATTATGTATATCAGAATAATAGTAAGTTTCTCAAATATCGCATATTGTTTCACGATTTACTGATAAACCATATGCACTAAACGTATAACCCTTATACTTGAGAAATTTAGAATTTAGAAATAGAAACGGTCAGCTCATATAGTCGGGGCAAATGGGTCGTGGTTCATTTACTTACCATATCATGTAACTTTGTCAAAAATATAACAATTAGCATAAGAAAGATAGTTCCACCAGATAAGATTTTATTTGGACGCCATCTACAGAAAATAAAGTTCAACAAACCTCTTTCTTAAGCCAATCCCTGTAGAAAGAAATTGTCTGTGCTGAAGGATAGGAAAACAAATCAAACAAATAAAATTTAGTTTCATTTACTGACTAAAAAGGGTATTCGAAGTAGTATCAAATCTGCATAACAAACCTTTATAATATGTGTCACAAATAAATTTGACTGCACCTGAAATTGCAACTAGGTGTGCATATTTATTTTACAGGGTGTTAAATAAACGATCTCCTATCAGTGACACAATTATCATCGGGATTTAATAAATCTAATCAATGAAATCAATGGAATATTCCCCAGATATGTCATGACTGCCCAATCACTAAGTTCAGTGTATGATTGCTGGGATGGCAGCACATACGGGTGATCTCAAAGATTTCATTTGTTTTTCAAATTATTGGTTATGTATCTCATGAAATGTCAAAACATGTTGTCATTTACCTTTCACTGCTGAGCTAATCTTGTAATTGATATTTCTTATTTTGCATTTTTTTTCGGGATGCAATCAATTTGTTTGGATTTCCCAGTGACATCAGTTTGTGAAAAGAATCGTTTTCTGCAATTTTGGAATGAATGGGTAAGAACAGTTCTGTAGATGTACCTCTGACCTACTTTAAATGATATTGTTCATTTGACTAATTTATTTTAGCATTACAACATTCTGAAGTTGGTGAATATTCTTGCATTTGCACAAATCATTTCCAGAAGAGCTGCATATTATGAGTTTTCCAGAATGGCAGGAAGTGCCTAATAAAAGGCTCTCTGTTCCTACAATATTTGAGGTATGTAACACTTTTATTTCATAGTGTTGAATGAACAGATAGTATACCCAACTGAAAGGAGGTATTGTAGTTTTTGATTTTCCTACTTTTATCTTTGCTCTCTATACAGTGTGAACCTCAGTCCAATATAAATCAATGTGCATTGATTCAATCTCTAATTACATCTTCAAATTTTGAATGTGTTCTCACCATCACTAGTTTCAGTATCTATGAATCAGCAGATGCATTGCATTGTTGCATTTGATTTATGTTCAAGCCAAAATACTCATATAATCTGTTGGCAATAGTATTTGTGAAAAAAAAACAAAAGGAAGTTTTGTTTGTAAACCCTGCATTATTGTCTTGAAATTATCAACAATGTTTTTAATTTGTTGTGAAACATAAAATATTGATGTTTAAAATAAGTTTTAGCAACCTGCAGATTCCTGGATGATGCCCACTACATCCTCTGGAAAAACATTCTAAACTACAGATTGGGTGTTCTCAAATGTAAGTACCTAACACCTATAGTGACTCCAGATTAATAGTTTTCATGAACATAATTCAACTCTTAACCAATCTGAGCACGTCTAACATTGGGAATTGATCATATAAATCATCAGGATGGCAAATTAATGATTCACATATTTTCCCTTTATTCAAGATGTTTTTACAGGTTTACAAAAAAATCCAGGGATCATTCTGATTCTTTTTCATTTATTTAATTTGGAAATATAAACAAGGGTGGTTTCAGGCTTTTTTGTCAGTCAGTCTGTATATTATATATATATTCTGTTTATAACAAAAAAAACTCAATTTATTGACCATTAACTCATTTCTTTTTCTCACTGAATACTGTACTCACTTCCAGTTGAAGTATAATATCTTCTGAAGATATAGTAGAGTAATTATATATTATTGTGAATAAATGTAACTATTTCAAACAAAAAAATTCAGATAACCAGATATAAAAAAAAAACAGTGGCATTTTGATCTATCCATTTATTCAAAAAAATTACTTTTGGTAAGGAGTATATATGTATGAATAAGGTATCTCAGATTATACATATACCCACATGGTACATATTCATACAAATATCTTCATGAATATTATTTTGGTTTGATAACATTGGAGTGTTTTTTCCCTGAATAACTTTTAATTTTTCTTTCTCAGGTTCAGGTACATGAAAGGAGCAAATTCAAAGAAGTTTTGGAAGAATCAAACAATCTGTCCCTAGTGGTAATTGGAATTTTGTTTTGTTTCACACTAGCAGTGGAATATCTAAAAATTTGTTTCAACAAAAGACATCAGGAATCTCAATCATCTGCCTATTAGCAATGGAATGGCCCAAACAGTGCATG